TATTATCGCTTATCGCAATAATTTTTGAGACAATTAATCGCCCAGCAAAATTTGTTATCGTGACAGGCCTATTCATCATGTTGTTTGGAGACTCCAGTTCAAGATATCTTAAATGTATCTTTGGATATGAGATTCACTATATAAGATTTAATTAATGCAAATTTCAGACTTTTTCATGTTCTGTAAATTGTATTTAAAACAAAGCTGCTGCTGTTCATCATTCTGTTTTCATAAACCCTACCCCCAAAGCCAATACTGTAGGGAAACACTTTTTTGAAGATGTTCTTGAAAATACAATTGCCTGTTAGTAACTCAGTCTAAAATGTTTGCATCTGTTCAGATGTCATATATTATATACCTCTGTATAACCATGTTAATATTTTGCAGTACAAAGTACAGTACACATTTTTCTTATTTTATCAAAATTTGAACATTTTTGTTTCGGGCAGGTAACTTTTCATGTCGGGCAGGTAACATTTGTTGTCGGGCAGGTAAAAAAAATAAAATCTTGTCAAACCCTGGTGGAAATGTCTCCAGTTTTAGTGAACGTTGTCCTCCTTATTGTACAAAGTACCACTAGTTAAAGTCATGGTGCTTTATTCCTGATTGAGCTGCGTGTTTTGATGTTTATGGGTTTTTCCAAAGCAGCAGGAGAAATAGCAAATTGAAAATCGTGAGTGAAACAGAAGAAAAAAAGCCAGATACTAATAAGGGAGCTCCAGTTTAGTTTTTTTCCTTTTCCACTAATAAAAAAAAAAGTTCTCTCTTTCGTCTGCCTTTTAGCACACCGATGGTTCTTAACAAAACTTTAGAAATCAAAGAAAAAAAAGCCACGTGCTTTAACCAGACCTTAAAATCCCTTTCTACCTTTATTCTTACAATATCAAGTCACGAGTACTAATATGAATCATCTTTTTAGGTGTTTTCTATAAACGTGCCATATTGGATGTCTTCGTCGGTTTCCTATATGTTCGTACAAACTGCTCAAAATTGGTGTCTTCCTCAAATCCATGCTGCAGTGGTTTGAGGTGAGCAGCAAACATGTTCATGACTTAGTACTTGGTGATATAACACATTCCACTGGAATCCTGTCATGATGAAAGGAACCAAAAGAAAAACAAACTGTAAAGGTGTTCTGGTTGCTGTTTATACATCCATTCAAATGCTGAGATTTTTCCAGAATCTACTTGGTCTTTGTGTCTGATTTTTTGGGACAGCAGATCCAAAATGGTTAAAATTTCAAAGAGGAGCTCGGTCCAAGGCCACGTCAAATAAAAACAGCAGCATTTAAAGCCAGTCTGGTGTCTTTTACACTGTCCTGTTGGGAGAAAGTCTTTGAACGGGAAGAGAATTCTTCGAGCTGAAGGTCAACACGGGCTGAAACTACACAGACATCAGTCGTCACATGTCAGTCTGATGCTGGATCCTCGGTCAAAGCCTGCGCAGATAGCATCTTAACCAAACAAATAACCACGAGCCGCGAAGTTCCAACAGCAGCGCACATCTGTGCGAAAAAAAAATCGAAGGCTAAACAGTGCAAAGCTTCAAAGCAACGAGAGACACAACAAACCCTGGTAGTATATTTACCCACACATAGTTTCCACAGGTATTCTTGGCACCCAGCAGTCACGCTGGCCAAGAGGGGCTTTGCTTTTTCACACGATTTAGGTGCTCCTCTCGTGTTCCGATCATTTATTGTCTCGATACTTTTGAGTTCGAGTCAGACATATGTCTGGTGTCTTTTTCCTTAGCAACACAAAGAAAAACAACAAACGTTTAACAGGCAGCTCAACTGTCACTTTGACTTTGTGTCAGCATCTGCCTCTTCAAAGGCTTGAACGGGCTGCAACCAATCATACTGTCACTGTTACTCTTCTGCAAGGGAAACTTGTCAGGCTAATATCCCCGGCTGCAAGGTCAGCTAGTCTGGCCTGCTCTTCTCGGAAATGAGGAGACGACGGCACGCTACAAAAGGAGGCACTACAAAGGTTACTCCACCAGTTGTTTTTCTTGTAGCTATCAACCGAGTGGCTCGGAGGCAGCAGAACCCGAATCAATCAAACTCTGGAATGGYTGAAGGAGGCGCTGCTCTGAAAAGAATAACACCACTGTGTCATTTGTTTGTGTGCACAGAGAGGAGTCCAGCAGAGCTCAGTCTGCAGAGGTCTCTGGTCTCAAACGCCATGCTGCTTTGCACTCGCAGTGTGAAAGCAAAATAAAACAGGAGCAACAGGAGCACACATGTGAAAGTGATAAAGTGTGGAAGCTATCCAGCCCTGCTCAAGTTTAAACTAAGAAGGCAGGAGGCTGCAGGTTTTGGAAAGAACTAAAAACTAGAAACTGTCATTAAATTGGGAGTTAATTCATTCACTAAAAAGGTGCATATTGGTGTTGCAGCTTTTAGTTACAAGCTTAGTTATTAAATTATATTCAAGTTGGTTTTTTTTTTTATTTCTGATGACAAATTTTATCAAATTGCAATTAACGAAAAAAATGTCAAACAAAAACCTGTTCTGTACAGAAGGTGGAGAAGCTGCTGGGAGCTAACATGATGAGAAATTTGTCTCTTAATCTAAAATCTGGTCTATACTGCCATCTTGTGGTCAAGTCACATAGCAGCAACAAAAATGACTTTTTACAAAAGGACATTGAGATGAACTACTAACCACGTCACAAAAGTACCAAAAAACAAGTTGTGTTGAAATTGCTTTGTATATAATGGGTCTGAATGTATTTTTAAACTAAAAAGTAAAACAGAGAAAGAAACTCCCATCTGAACACTTTCTTTAAAAACAAACAATGATCACGTTCAGTGGCCTATCTATAAGATCTGACACATTTGTTTAGAAACCAACATGATGCACGAAGCTTTCAGTAAAACACAAGGACCCAAGAAGGCAGACTGGGATGAACGATTGTTATTGTACAACAAAGATGACAGCTCCATTAAAAAGGAGGGCTCGTTGTGCAAACACTACTGAGACGATCTATTTTTCTTGTGTACGTTTTTCGGCATCCAACTCATTCCACAATTTTTATAATATTTAATCAATTCATATATAAAACATTAATTTATGCCATGGGTTCCACGTCTTGTGGTATTTCAGCAATGTATAACTTTTCAGCTATTGAGTTTTTTTCTCATTTAAAATGAATAGTGTTTTCTTCAACATTCTTAAAAATGATTTAAAATCTTTACTGCACTTTTCAACTTTTGTTCTGGCTCTCCTTTTTACCAACGTCTCTGGGCTTTCTTAGCTTTTTTCCTGCYTTTTCATTTTATTAATTTAAACGTTTTAGGCTTCCATCAACTTTTTTCTGCAAATTTAAGCTTTTTATGCATTTTTGGATGATTTTTGCTAATTTCAGCTGTTTTTTGCCCCTTTAGCTGCTTTGTAGATATTTAAGCTATTTTTACCTTTTTTAATCTAAATTCACTTTTGTGACAATTTAGGCTTCCTATTGCTTAATCAGTGTGCATTGCCAATGCAATGCACACTATTGTGATTCGTTTCCCATCCAAGTCATCTCAACTTTGCCATGCTTCTCTTCCTGCATACTTTGTCCTAGAGCTGCCATTGTAATTTATATCTGTAAAGCCCCTGTGTCAAATGATGGCTATGCCTTTTGGTGCCTGAAAAACGTATAGTTTATGAAATATTAATGTTTAATGAATKATAATGACAGTCAATGGAGCCTTGTATTGGTCCAATACTGCCCCATGCTGTACTCAACTTGGTACTGCACCATAGTTTAATATTTCAACTCAGTAGTTCAGTGTTTACAGTACTAATATGATTGTATTTTGATGTTTAACTACAATATTGTCTTAATACTGCTCGATTGTTGTAATATTATGCATTTTTGTGTCAATAATTGTATTGGCAATGTGGCCTCTTTCTGCACACATACAAACCAACCCCTGCCATCATCTTCTGCCACTGCTCCATTGGCCTAATGGTCTATGTGATGGACTTTCATGTGGGAGATCAGGGTTCAAAACCCAGCAGCAGCAATTTTAACAAAAAAAAAAATCTCTTCAAATTTCATATTGTCACACAATTACCTTAATTACAAACACCTGCTGACGTGACAGGCACAAGCTGGTATAGAAAACACATTTGAACTTGGTCAAAGTTCACTCTGCAAGTCCAATGCTGCAGGCAAAGCCATACTACAATGACATGCTACATGGCAATGCACACTTGTTTTTACATCGTAAAAACCCATGTCTAGTTCAAACATGCCGTTTCTGTGTCATTAGGCTAATTTTAACTTTTTCAGACACTTTTTTAGCTGTTTTCTACTAATTTTGACCGTTTTAGCCAGTTTAAAACCATTTTGTACTTCTTTTGTTTGTTCTGTAAATGTGAACTGTTTTACACTCTGCTACTGTTGGCCTGTTCAAATTGAACTCACGCTAACAGTTTTGCTATGAAACATTTTCAGGTTCTTCAGCAGCTATCATGAAAAACGTTTAAGCATTCACACTGCATTTTCACAGGAAATTCTCTGGTTAAAGTTTTGATACCCACCCAGAGAGGTTCCGTCTTCTCCCATGATGACCTTCATGGAGGTAATGATCTGCTGAGCCACAGGTGGGGACATGGAGGTGGCATACACAGCACTGTGAGAGTGGCAGCGCAGGTAGTTGATCAACTCCTGACACACAAATCAGATTAAAAAGTATAAATATTATTATTTTTACCATTGTCAGAATAAGAATTCCCTCCAACATACACATTAAACCACAAAGTATGAGTTGAAAAAGTGTTTCCTTTCTATTTCCTTTGGTTCTGTTCTAGTTTCACTAAAAATGAAAGCGTACAGTTCTCTGGGTTTTCCATTACGTGTCACCAGTGTTGACCAACACTGAGTGAGTGAGCAGGATCAGGGAAATTACTCAAATTCCTGAGAATGACTAAGTGCTGCTACTAACCAAATTAGAACAACTCCTTTTCCTGGGTCAAAGGTTTCATATTCTGCTCTCTGATCCATTAATCTGTCACCATCAGGAGGTCACTAACCTTCTTGCCTCCGATGTATCCACCTGCAGCCCCGAAGCTCTTGGTGAAGGTTCCCATCATGACGTCGACGTCTTTGGGATCCAGACCGAAGTAGTCCACGACTCCTTTCCCATTAGGTCCGAGGGCGCCGATACTGTGAGCTTCATCCAGGTACAGGTAGGCCTTGTAGCGCTTCTTCAGAGCTATGATCTCAGGCAGACGAACGATGGACCCCTCCATGCTTTGTAACATAACAAAAGAATTAACAAATGATGACAACAGACCTAAATGAAACAAAAACACTTTATTTTACTTTCACTTCATCTTTAATTTTGGATTTTTTAAATAACCTGGCAACAAAAATCTAAACCTCAGGTCAGAAAGCTGCTATTTAACCATATTTATTGTAGGGYTGTGTATTGGCAAGAATTTGGCGATACGATACATATCATGACAGAGGGGTCACGATACGATATATCCCGATATATTGCGATACTGTAAGCAAGGCGATATATTGCGATTTTTTTGTCCAAAAATTCTATTAAATAAAAACCTCTTACAGGGAAAAAAATGAAAAACCAAAATTCATTGTTTCATAAAATTTTAATATTACATAGACATGCTTTTGATACATTTAGCTGTGTTCTGCTTTGTATGTATTTTTATTTTATTTGTTTCATGTTTCTTATTTCATCCATGTTTTCAATTATTAGACTAAATTTGACAAAAAATAGTTTGAAAATATATTTTTTGCAGCTTTTAGTTTTTAATATTAATTTACAATATGGTCACCCAACACTTAACAATAGCCTCTACCTCAAGAGGTAGAGGAGCCAAATGGCTGGCTCACTGCTGCCAACTAGTGGTCAGAGGCTGAACTACAACATCAAAATGGCTGGCAGGAAAGTTGACATTTTAAACCTTAATAAAAAAATGGATACAGGGCTTTAGAATATCGATACAGTATCGGGAAATGAAATATCGCGATATTTCAGTGTATCGATATTTTCTTACACCCCTAATTTATTGTTAGTTCAGTTAACTTAACCTGTCTTTATTGTTTTGTAATAAAACTTAAAGTAAAAATAAGAGGGAATTATCTGTGTAAGGTCGTTATTCACCAAGAAGGGAGTGTCACTGCTTTCAGACAACAAAGAAAGCATCACACATCCAGCTCTTTATTGTTTCACACAACCAGGGATGGTAATGTGAAAATATGTTTTTAAATGAAAGCTAAGCGAGTGTGAACATGTCACATTCTGTTTGTGTCGCCTGTTTTCAGTCAGGCTGGTTTTGAAAATGTTCTCACACTAAGCTCTAATGGGCTGGAATGAATAAATAAAACAGACTTAATTTTTGTGTTGCTGGATCACGAGTCCCGTGTTGGTTCAGGTTCGGTTACTCTGCACTTGTTCCTACCTGTAAATTCCCTCCACAACGATGAGGATTTTCTTCCATGGCCTGTGCGTTCTGGGCTGTCCGTGTACGATAGCATCTCTCAGCAGCTTCTCGAGACTCTGCATATCTGCAGTGGAGAAAATTWAAAAAGTTACTTTCAGCGTTTAACAGGAGAGAAAAGAAACAGTTCAGAACCAAAGACTGAGTAGTTTACATCTTTTCTCTTTAAAGTTACATGAGAGCTTTCATTTATTCATGACTGTGTGTAAATATTTTATAACTACACCAATTTCAAGGCACAGAAATGGTTTTATTCAGCTGCTGTGCGACCTAATTATCACCTGTTGTTGGAAACTTTAGACAAGCAGCATGTTGGCAACTCAGTTTGCTCTGTGTATCAAGCAAAAGAATAAGAGTTTTGTAAAGATGCTGTAACTTTACACACCCATTTTAATTGTATTTATTAAAGCAGATAATTGTTGGACTATGTTAACAGAGTGTATTTATCCTAAATGTTTTGGGTGTACTTCAAGCTACAGTGCAGTTTGTGTTAAAGTGATTCACAATTACTTGTAACATTAGACACTATTTGATAAAAATTTACTTAAACCTAAAACAAAAGAGGAGAATGTAGAAATGACTCAGCCTGCAACTGAAAATGCAGATGGGAGGACAACAGAGCTGCTTCATGGAGAACCTCAGCTTAGCCTGTTAGCTTTTGCACAAGCACCATATGACATTTTTTTTTATACATGGTGTTAGTTTCTGAGCTAACAAAATTAGCTCGGCGCTAACAAACGAAAGCTAACAAGTAAAACTGAGTTTTTGCTTTCGTAAGGCAGATCTATTGACCTTCATCCACATTTTTAGTTGCAAGCTGAGTCCTTCTCTCTGTCAAAAGAGCTCTGGTTTTATTTGAAAGGGCTGATCCTCAGATATTTTCAAAGACTGACCTTCAGTGTGGGTAAGACCTCAAGCAGCCTTGCACCAGAAAACCTAGTGAATATTATAATTTACCCGGTATGCTCTGCGATCGTGTGACACTTTTTTGATTATATAAAAACAAAAAAACAGCCTACAGTAAACACTTCGTTTTACAGTTCAAGTAATTCATCAAATGACGCCTAATGTTACAAGTAACTGTGGATCCCTTTAATGAAGGAGGTATAAAATATGTCACCCACTGTTGTGTTTGAAGACTCGAATTGTGGAGCCCGACAGGCGAGCGCCCAGCACCAGCGACGTGTGATTCAGCTCGTCGCTTAAGATCAGACAACCCTACAACAAAAAGAACCCCCATCAAACTTAAAAAGCTCACTGCAGTGAGCAGCTGCAGCTTTAAGGTAGACATTAAAAAGGACAGAAGCACTTTTYCCCCCGGTTGAATTCTGATTTACAAAGACAGGATTTCACATTGTGAAGTTTCTACATTGAGCAATTTGCAGCCACACCTTTGTTTACACTTCTTTGACAGCTGCTGAAACCAGTCTTAAAAACTCACTGGAAGATAGGGCTGTGTATTGGCAAGAATTTGGTGATACGATACATATCATGAGAGAGGGGTCACGATACGATATATCCCGATATATTGCGATTTTTGTCTAAATATTCTATTAATTAAAAACCTCTTACTGAAAAAAAAGAAAAGCTAATGTTTACTTACAACGCTAATGCTACCCTTACTCTCTGGCGCTCAAGAGGTAGAGGAGCCAAATGGCTGGCTCACTGCTGCCAACTAGTGGTCAGAGGCTGAACTACAACATAAAAATGAACGGTTGGCAAGAAGATCGACATTTTAAACCTTAATAAAAATGGATACAGGGCTTTAGAATATCGATAACAGTATCGGGAAATGAAATATCGCGATATTTCAGTGTATCGATATTTTCTTAAGATTACAAATTCTATAGAATTCAGACTTTTTATATTATGTGTAAGTAAAGTACAAGGTGCAACTGTTACTGCGTATGAGTGGTTTTATTTTAGTGTCAAAGTCAATCTTAGCAAACACAAATACAGTATATTTATAATTCGGTCAGCTTAACAGATACTGAGCTGAAACTTGGTGGTGCTGTAGGCCAAAGTCATCCTCAACATATGAGCTCACATACAACCTAACCTTTTTACAGTTACTAATGTGCATGGTTAAAATCAGGCACAAATAAGGTGTCCCTTACCATTATCAGGTGATTGTCTGCAGAATACTGGTGCCAGTCATACAGTGGTACTGATAGATAATTAAATTTTATCAGGTTCTCACAAGTATTTCAATTCAGGGTGTGTGTGAAAACAATTAAGTTCCCTAAGTGGGGTGTGACAGAAACTTAAGAACTACTCATTTAGACAAATTATATTGACAAACTGGAAGTAGGCATAACACTGGTCTAGACCACAATGCAGTGTTTGTGAAAACATGTCGGACCGTCTGACGTAAAATACAATTGTCTGGTGAAAAACTTAAAATCGTTGGACGTTGACCGATGTGCTTCTCAAAACCTAGCAAATATATTATTTACATTGAAAATCACCAGGGGCCTCATGTATCAACGGTGCGTACGCACAAAAACCTCGCGTACGTCATTATCCACGCAAAACTCTGGATGTATCAAAACTGAAATGAACGTGGAAATGTGCGCAGCCCCACGCCAACTCCAGGGCTGGTGTACGCACGTTTCTGTGGTTCTGGTTCCATTGGCGACACTTAGAGGTGATTCTGAGAAACTTTTCATGATGTGAGAATGATTATTGTTCACAGCAGACACACATGATTAACAATTATTACATCCACATGATTAACAATTATTACATCCACATGATTAACAATTATTACATCCACATGGACGCAGTTAGATAAAAGACACGCAAAGTTGTGCCAAAAATACATTTAAACAGGAAAAGATCCAGCCTTACTGGAGGATATAATAAATAGTGAAACACGCAGAGCTTTTATTTATAAACAGATAGAATTTTCTGATGACGAGTGGCTCATCAGCCGTTTTGAGGAAGAATAATTTTTAGTTTGACACTGCTGCGCTCTGGAGCGCAACGCAGCGAGCTGCGTGYGCCACGTGTGAACGTGCAGCAGCAGCGATTGAACTGGGGTTCCACAGGAGCTTTCCAGAGGGAGCTGCAGACCCATCAGGACTCAGTCCAGTCCACCCAAAGCTGAGTCATGACCAATGGAATCGTCTCATCCATATGATTCTAAAGGCTGAGTTATGGTCGCGCTTTGGAGCGCGCACCCTCGCCGGCAGTGATGTTTCTTTCATATTTGTTGTTTACGTTGTTGTAGATTTCTCCAAAATGACACGTGGAAGTACACTTTACAACTTGTGAAAATGCTGTAAGTAGGAGAGCAAAAGCTTGACAGACAAACAGACTGTGCACAAAGGCTGTGGTGCTCGCAGCGTTTGTGTGGACTCTCCAACATCAGGTCATGTGAACTCTACTGAGGAGCAGAGACTCGTTTCTTCATATCAGCTATGAAATAAACAAAGATCTATGTTCTAACAACATTTAAGTTCCTCTGTTTACAGTAATTATGGTAATAAACTCGTGCGCAAAGTTAATATTTTCAGACTCAGAATGGATGGATGAGCCGGTTGCGCAACACAGCAGCATGCGCGCGCGCACACACGACACAATCACTCGTTCTTTGCGTGATATTTTACTCCTATTCTTACTTATGTTTTTTTTTTTCTCACTGACTATATTAAATTCATTATTTTCCTGACTCTAGAAATCATTTCTGATCGTGCAGGGATCACTGAAACGTATCCTTCACACATGCAGGAAGTAATTTGCATCTGTTTAACATATGTAAATGAAGACGTGTCAGGGGAGGTGTCTCATGTGCGCTCAGTTCCACGTTGTGATGTACAAAACAAATGTGCGTGGACTCAGGCGTACGCACGGTTTGATACATCTGGATTTTTTGTGCGTAAGCAGTTTTCTGGATTTGAACGTACGCCCCGTTTCAGTAAGAAATCCATTTCTTTGTACATGAGGCTCCTGATCAGTCACACAGTTTATACAACTTCAACTGGTCAAAGGCCAAAGACTTTATTGCATAATAAACATTTACACCACAACGATGAGGTCATGAGCAGAGAAAGAACATTCATCACAGAGTTTATAACCCCCCATGACTCACAGGCCGGTGCAGTTTCTGTTTGCTTTTTTTCCCCACTGTCAGCTGACAGCAAACGTGTTCTCTGGATCACGTCATCCACTCACACATCTAAGCATCTGTGTATCCCCTCAAAGCGTTTGCAATGAACTAACAATTCGAATACAAAGTAAGCACACACTTGAAGAGATCAAATGAAGGGTTATGCAACGCTCAGGAGGGAACAAAATAACAAAACAAAGGAAGTGAACAAAAGGTCCCAACCTTTCCAGTGAGAGCAGGAATGTTCATGGAGTTGGTTGCGAAGCCCATCCCAAAGGCCATGGCTGACTCGACCCCCAGAAACCTGGCAATCAACTGCTCCAAGTCCTCGTGGATGTCCAGGTTCCCTGAAAATAAATCACAGTAACAAGTTTTATTAAGCTTGTCATCATTCTTTTTAAAATCGCAGTCTGGTTTTTGTAGAAGTGAGGAGTAAGGAGACGCTCATAATAACTACCCTTGATTTAGTCTTATTAATTATAAAAGATGAATAATGAAAGCTTCACAAAAAAAAGTGTGACTACACTTACCTAGCTCACAGCGAGTGCTTCCCACTCCAGCCCCGTACGTATGTGTGGCTTTGACAGCAGCATCGTAACAAGCTCCAGTGTTCTCAGCAAAGCCGAGGTAGTTGTATGAACCCATGTTGATGACGTCCTTCACCACTTGCCCTGTGTGTCTGAACAACAACAAAAAACGGTCAGGAAACTAGGATATGCATTTGAACTCCAATTCCCCTTTTCCTCCCTTAAAATCCAKGGGTAGACGTAAGGATTTGTTGACAAAATCTGGTTGTCCGCAAAACATTTTGGTTGTCCAAAAAAAAAAAACCCAATTAAAATGTAATTTAATAGGTAGCCTATATTGTTCTGTATACAAAGTTTACTGTATACAAATGTTCTCAGTCAGCAGGTTAACAGTTTCAGGAGCTGCTTGAGTAAAACTCCTCATCCTCTTCTTTGAAATAGAGAGCAAAAATCAACATCCAACAACCATAAGCTTCCTGCTTACAGGACCAACATTTTAATTTAAATAGTAGTATAGCCTACTGTCTACATGACCTTATTAAAGCTACAGTTTAATGTTCTTATAACTGAAGACTTTCTGGATAAAGGGGATTTAAAAATATCTTCTGTCATTTTAGTGTTATCAACTGAGGAGCTTTGACGTATTTATTTAAAAAAAGAGTTATAGCACAAGAAGTTCTCTGCATAGAAAAAACATAATTCATTTTTACTGTTTTTTTAACCAAACTGACAAGTTTCTCCACTATAATTGTTGTGTAATGTAAATGCATTGAAACACCTGGTTAAATTTAGAAGATATTATGACTAACTACAAGCACCTGAAGCTGACTCAGAGAACTCTGATTTTAGAGGAAAATCAAATTCAAACGTAGACACGGCACCTCTGTTCTGATTGGGTAAAACTTCGACTGTGGTTCTCTTTATTGGGTGAAAGAACAGTCAGTTTAATCCCTAGATGGCTTTAACTAGGTTTTTTCCTTCCATTCATTTTTACAATGACCAACACCTGCTGCTTTTTTCTTGGTTGTCCACCGGACAACTTGGAGGCGGGATCTGGTTGTTCGAAACAAAAATAGGTTGTCTCGGACAATCTAAACAATGGTTATGTCGATCCCTGAAATCCATGCTTCAGCAGCTAACATAAACATTACAGGAGATAATACCGCATAGTTTAGAGAGCAAAGGCACCTGTGCATGCTTCACATACCAATGTGGAAAACAGAAGATAAGGCACGGCCAGAAACAGAGAAATTCTGTCCTCTTTTAAAGTCRGTTCTTATTTCACACGTTCCACTGTCAGTAAAATAAACTTGTGTGTGTGTTGCCTATGTTTGATTATAGATTCCAGGACTTGGTGAGCTTTTTGAGATAAATACAGCCAGAGATTCTCATTTTCTTTAGTCAACCCAAAGAAATGAAACCAGTTGGATAAAACATAGATGCGGAATTGCATATCTGCTCAGATTTTACGGTCACAAAATTTTCACAAGCAGAAACAGATAAAGAACCACGTTTTGTTTTAAAAGTGGTGTTTCCTGTCATGGCCATGTGGCAAATTCTGATTGTTCTCAAGTAACCGTCTGAACCATGGTTTACGTCATTGTTATCAGAAATTCCTTCATGTCATGTCAGGGTGTGGTTTGTAAACTTAGGCAACTCCTAAAGCAGATTCTTGCAGTAAAACTAAGTGTAAAACTCTGAACATGCATTTTCTGGATTTTGTAACCAAAAGAATATATTTGTTCGGTTCACTGCAACTGAAAGTACACCACGTTCCAACTTACTCAAAGGTCCAGTTGTAGTTGTGAGTGACTCTCTCTACCAAGTCCATCTTGGCACCAGGGACACTGCATATAGGTCTGTTCCAGTTATCTCGAATCCTCATATACAGGTTCCTGGTGTAAAAGTTCTCAAAGTCCTGATACAGAGGAACAAAATCCTGCACAAAAAAAAGACAATAGAAATGCCATTGAGACAGTTCAGAAAATACACGAGTAATCACGATCTAACCAAATCAAAAAAAAAGAGACATAACACTTTACCTTCTGCTCGTCTCTCTCACGAGCCACGTGGCACTTCTCGATGTTCCAGTGGCGTATGAAGTCTCTGAGGTAGCCGAAGAGGGTGAGGATGCCGTAGCCCATGTAGGTGAGCACAGCCACGAGGAGAGGCGTCTCCTCGTAGGATTCCACRTAGGGCTTCTTGTACAAACTGGAGTTACTGTTCCCATTTTGCTTCTGTGGGAAGTGAAAGCAGCAGGTTAGYTCACATTTGACAAGTCGTTTTCATGAACGGTAACATAAAAAGGTGGTGTCAGCAAGTAGCAAACCAGCTTGAATAGCAAACTGTGGKATCTTTTAATTGGGTGCAGTTACTCATTATGGGCTCTGCCCTGCAGCTTAGCAACGTCCTCATGTGACCAGTCATGCTTCGCCTAGAAGTACCTCGAAGCTGTGGRCCAAATACTGCAAGTGGAGCTCAAAGTCTGTCAAACACGACCCACTGCAGTGGAACACAAACATCCCCACAGAGATTGTTGCCTTCCTGAAAYGGTTTCCTCCTTGCTTTAATCCTACCTGTACACAACAAGAGCCCGACAGGAACGGCCCCTGGTAGAGAACACACACAATYRCCAGGGGTAGACATAACCATTGTTTAGTTTGTCCGAGACAACCTATTTTCATTTCGGACAACCAGATCCTGTCTCCTGGTTGTCCGGTGGACAACCAAGAAAAAAAGACCTTGATTAAAGTTCTCTGCTTCGGGTGTCCATCATTGTAAAAATGAAAGGAAGAAAAAACTTGGTAAAGCTGAACAGAACACTAAACTGTAACTTTTAATAAGGTCATGTCCACAGTATGTTCCTATTTAAGTGAAAATGTTTGACCTATGAGCAGAAAGAAGTTTATGAATGTTGGGTAACCTCTAGATTTTATTAGCAACATTTTTGCTGCTTTACTCCCTGAGCCTTAAATACTCTATTTCAGAGAAGAGAATGTGGAAGTTTTATTCACACAGATCCTGTCAACCTGGCTGACTGAGAACAATTATGATATATAATAAACTTTGTCTACAGAACAATATACTTGTTAAACTACATTTTTCTTGAGATTCTTTTGGACMACCAAAATGTTTTGAGGACAACCAGGTTTTCTCAACAGGTTGTCCGCTGGACAACCTGAAAAATATCCTTATGTCTACCCCTGATTACTGTCTGAAAAACCTGCTTTCTCATGCTTACGCCACACCTGACTGGAGGACAATCATGTTACACAATCATGTTACACTGTACACACATAAAGAGAAGCTCACCGTGTCAGCAAACAAGTTCTCTGTCTGAWAAATTCTGCAAARATCATCCAAACTGAGTGACTGTTTCTAATTATCAACCACTGCCTTAAAGGGCTGGTGATCAGGTGTGTGTGTGTGTGTGTGTGTGTGTGTGTGTGTGTGTGTGTGTGTGTGTGTGTGTGTGTGT